TGTACGTATATATATTTTATGTGTGTGTGTTTGTGTTTGTTTGAGTGCGTGTATGTAATATATATATATATGTTTGTATGTATGTGTATATATTTATATATATGTGTGTGTTTTGTATGTATCTGTGTATGTATAGAACTTTTTGTATGTATATATTGTTTTCATTGTCATATGTATTTCGGAATCAGGTTTGGCGTTTTATGCTTTCTGTGATACCCCAAGGGTTTTATTATACATAGGGTTTTTTATATATGCGCATTTCCGTGACAGGGATACAATCTCTCCTTGGCTATTTTAGACAAGGCTGTAACGGTAGTGATGATTCAGTATGTTTGAGCCTTTTCATGCCTATTAAACTTGCACCGGTGGTGCTTCAACCTTCTTTATGCATGATTTTTCGTTTTTCGCATTTTGGCATTTCGATACAATAAATATTCATGCCTATATTAAACTTGCACCGGTGGTGCTTCAACCTTCTTTATGCATGATTTTTCGTTTTTCGCATTTTGGCATTTCGATACAATAAATACAAACCAAATATGTAACGAGAACCCTAAGCAAATAGCGAACTCCCGTCTACTACTCTAATTCGTGGTGTTGCATCAATTACATACGTAGTTTTTTAGTATTGATTGACAATTTTTTGTAATGTGACGCCGAATATGTAGGTCTGATTTAGGTGTAGGTGGATTTATTTACTAGTTACTTAAACAGCAATGCACTCAGAGGCAATTGAGCTGCCAGAGTTGGCGAAATCGTCAGCGCAGCACCCGTTGAGGCACTCGTTGAAGGATAATGGTGTTACAGTTTCGTAATCAACGATGTCACAGTATGCCGAAACCACCTCATCGTTACAGTTTTCTTTGTAGTTTACAGACTCGGAGCAAGCTGTGTGTGTGTAAATAAATAGTAAGAAAAAGAGAAATAGCATACATTACTACCAGCAATTGAAATAATAAGAAAGGGAGAAACTCAAATTGATACATCCAAAAGACATACTACTTACGTGCACAAACGAGGTCGTCGTTCAAAACACCGCCAGAGAACCCTGCGAAATACCCGGAACTACCAGCCAACTTTGCTTCTGTGGGACCAAACCCAGCATTACAGCTGAAAGAAAGACCGCTACCATCAACGTTAAGTAAGCAGACTGCGGAAGCGAAGGTGCCGTTTTCAGCAGCTAGACCAGATGAGATTGGGGTCTCGACGGTACATTGGCGTAGGTTCGCGGGGCACCCATCACCCTTATCGTCTTCGGGGTAGAAGAAAGCGCATGGTTGGCACACAGGGGACAAGATACTTGTCTTGGCGTATCCAACGCTACAGCTATCGTGCGGCCCTAACTGGCATGAAGGTACACCATCGGTAGAGCAAGTGCTATTAGCCTCAGGGCAACCCGGTGAAGGTGGGCAGGGAAGACACTTGCCGTCCTTGACGTAGGCTTTGCTTTCCTTGGCAGCCCTGCAGTTGGTAAGGAAGAAGTCCCAGTTCATGCCAGATTGAACAATAACCTCATCAGTCAGAAGTCCGGCTCCAGATAGAATAGTGGGCATGTCGGCGGCGGTGCTTGCGACCTTGTCGACATCCTTAGCCTTGCAGAATTCTACAAGGATGTGTGTCTGGAATTCGGATCCGGAGGCTTCGGTTCCATTGCTCACGTACATGTTCTCTACGTGGAAAAGGTCCTGTGAGAGTGAAAGTAGGGAAGACACATCAAACAAGTACCAGGCAGCCATTTCGTAGTCTAGACTAACACCAACTACAAACTCAACGTAACCTCCATCATCGCAGAAGTGAGGTGTGTTGGAAGCTTCGGGTCTGTCGTTCCATAGAGGTGTGAAGTAAGGTGTGTTGATAACGACAGGTGGGAAGGGAAGAGACTCTTGTGGGTGAGGACGTGAGGGCGCCTCTTGGTGAAACTGGTAGTCATCGTCATCGTCATCTCCCTTGAGGTCAACTTCTACTACTTCTACTTCTTCTTTATCATCCTCATCTTCTCCCTCGGGCTCGATGAATTGAGGAACGGGCTCAACAAGACCGGCAAGAGGGTCGGTGATATCACGTCCCCACTTGTCTTGCATGTCTCTGTTAAAGCCCCATACATTGTATCCCTCGGCGTTGAAGCCATCAGCGTCGTAATCACCACCCTTTATTGCCAGATAGGCATATTTTCCGCCGTTTACCGCAGCTGAGGCCACGTAGGCGCTAGCGGCCACTAGAACTACAGTACTGAACTTTCCCATTATGATTTGATTGACCACGATCTTTGAATGATGAAGTGTGCTTTCCCTATGGTTCTGCTCCTGCTATATATATTCGGGCGTTGCGCATTCAGTATTCTGTTTATTTCTTGCCTGTCCACCACTCCGCCCAGTCCAGCCTGTCAGGCTATGGGAAATATAAAAATTGATATCTTGTTTGGTAAACACGCAGCAATCAGAAAGTACCGACTAATATGTAGATGATTGGATTGTTTCCTTCACAACCACTTAAAGCCAATAGAAAATCACTCTCCAGAAAAACAAATTCACAGTTGCTACATAAATATATAGTAAACAACCAATGATATTGTCGATGAAATTTAGCCTGAACTCTGAAGTTGTTGTTTTTTTTCTTGGTGTTAATAGATGTATTTTTTTTTTCAAGTAAAAGTAAATACAAACACAACTATTGTTTTTATTTTTTAAATAAAAAAACATAAAATACATATTTATGTAAATAGTTTTAAAAAGATACCTGCTGAGCCTGGACCCTGGACCCTGGGCCCTGGGCCTGGGGGCTGGGGCCCTGGGTAGTGAGACGTGGGCTGTTGCCTCACTCTTGTGCTTGTCGGCCACTCGGCCGTGGGTCAGTGGGACTGGGCCACTGGGCTGGTGAGCCTACTGGGGGCGGTTGGCTGTTGTGAGTCTGGTTTTAATACTGTATTCATTTATTTTATATACTGTTTGTTTTTTTTGTTTTTTTTGTTTTGCTGTCATCAGTAGCAGGACTCTAAACAGGCATCGAATTTAAAACAAACATTTCCAGACTAAATTGAGTTTATTTTATATACTACATAGCAAAATAAAATAAACTGAAGATGTAGTAAAAGGACCAAGGTTGGGCTCTTCTCTCTCAGTCTCTCGAGAATATCTATTTTTAAAGAAAATACAGCCTGCTGACTACTCTTCATTTGTTTTTAGAAAAAATAGTAACTGGCTGCTACATAGTAGAGAGAAACTTGTTTTTTTTGGTTTATTTTAACTGGTGGACAATCGAGCCAGAGGCTGTCCAGAGCCAAGACGCCCAGACGACCACCAGAAGTCCATCTTTAAAAAGAAGACCTCCTTTGGGCGTATCTTTAAAAAAAAGACCACCGTAGGGCGTAGGCCGTAGTGCGTAGTTCCGAAAGCAACAAGCTAAAGTAAAAAAGTCTCCAAATTTTATTTAGAAAATGGTTCCAGGTTCATTCGTACGATGCCACGCATGCGCTATATCGGATACTTTTCTGCCTTCTCGTTGTGTACATCGTGACTACATGCCAGTTGCCACAAACATTCACAGTTTCGAGAGAATATTTGCCCGTCCACTCGCTCGAGAGATAGACGTGTTCGCCTTCGACATAAAACAGAGTTCTGCGTGTCGGATGCCAGCTTGCCAACGTACCACAGCTCTAATTATAAATACTTCGCCTGCTGTCGGTGGTGGGACAGCACGCCGTTAATTATGATTACCTTTCCGCGTGTGTTCAATATAGTATGATCTTATTGTGGCCTGAGGGTACGTTATTATTATTGTGGATACAGTCTCGACGAAAATCAAGTGCGCGTGGAGTCCAATCTCAAACAGACCTGTAGACACAATCGCGGTCAAGTACAATGTGCTATTAAACCATGACCCCCAAATAGATAAAACAATATTATACCTGATCCAGTGATCGGACTATTGTCTGGTGAGAAATGAATATTACATTTAACATCATTTAAAAGCGCTTTCCCCACGACCACAATCTACAGAGAGGTCAAAACTGACAGCAGATTGCATTCTGAACTTCAATTAGCATCATTAGTTAGAGCACTATTGTTGACTCATTCCATACTGACTGATACTCTCGTTTATTCTTATATAAGAATATATATATGCACATGTGTGCAAAAATGTTTTTTAAGTGTATATATATATGTGTGTGTGTGTGTAATATATATACGTATATACCTATACATATTATA